CCAGGGGCTCCTCAAAACCAAGGTCCTCTGGGTTTCTGCAGGCAGGAGGGCTGGGGGTGCAGGTGGCCGTGGGTTCAGGCCGCTGGGTGCTCAGCAAGCCAGGGGCAGCAACCTTCAGAGTTTGGGGGTGGGGGTGGGGAGGGGGGAGGCTCAAGGTGTTGGGAGAGAGTTTAAATACATCCCACTGAGACTTGAGGGCTTCTGTAGGAACACAGACCCACCAGATGGTGCCCCTTGAAGAGGGAGGAGGCCCCTGACTCCAGAAACAGTGGTTGGTCAGGCTTGTCCTGGTCTTTCAACTGTGGGGCCCAACAGCCTCCTGAGCATGCAGGGTTACACAACCTCCTTGGGGGCGGGGGGTGGGGGGAGTACCGAGAGGGGCCCGTGTGGGCCAGGCTCCCCAACACAGCCATTGCTCACTGGTACCGGGCCAGGAGGGGCCAAGACGGGCCATATTCACCTCCAAACAGGGAAATGAGAAAGGTGGCCAGCCCACATTTCTGCCAGCAACATAAGGAAAAGTTCCTCCTCTGTTCTAGTTTTTAAAATCACATACATCAAGGGGCACCTGGGTGGTTCAGCATCCAACTCTTGATTTCGGCTCAGGTCATGATCTCGGGGGTTGTGAGATTGAGCCCCGCGTTGGGCTCTGCACTGGGTGTGGGGCCTGCTTAAGGATTCTCTCTCTCTCTGCCCCTCTGCCCCCCCCCCCGAAAAAATAAATAAATCTTTAAAATCACATACATGGCTTGTTACTCAGGTTGGCGTTACACTCGGAAAATCGTTCAGGACTCCTCTGATTTAGAGACATCAGACTGTCACCCCTTTTGCGGTTGTCCGAGGAGGAGGCTCTTGTGCTGGTGACTGGGGTGGGGGGAGGGGAGAGAAGCAAACCAAAGCCAATCTGCCTCTGGGGCCACTGGCCATGACTATGGGGACTCTCCGCGTCTGGGCCCCTCCTTCTGCAGTAGGTGATCGCAGTGCCAGGAAGGCTGTTGCGATGAGCCAGGACCTTGGACATGGAGCAGCAGACGACCTCCAGCTCGCTTGGCACAAACTCTAGAGAGACGACTTGGGGTCAAAAGTAGACTCCATCTGAGTTTCTTACCAAGTCCCCAAGGAGGAGGGGGGAAGGAGGACTGGGAGACCAGAAGTGGAAAATGTGGCTAATAGGACATCGCATTCCCTTTGGGATGGGAATGTTGGTGACAGCCTGAGGGCCTGAGGCTTCTCTGGGTCCACTGGTCTCTGGGTCAGCCCTCCTTGGGGGACCAACAGCCCCTGGGATAGGAGGAGCAGAGCCCAGGAGCTCTATTGAGAGGTGCGGAGCCAGGAGTCACTGCCTCCCTTTGGTGGAGACCACACTCAGTAGCTTAAAATCATCCAGCAACCTGGCAGTTTTAAGTCTCACTTCCTGCTTACTGTCTGGACCCACGGGGCAACATCAGGGAGCTCAGGCTGTGGAAAATTAGCTACAAGCTTGATTGGAAGTGATTTGAAGCTATATCATTCCATATCTTTCTCTCCACCCCCCCACCTCCCCCGCCCACCTTGTCCCTATCTATAGTAGGAAGTCTGAATGGTTCTTGGAATGTTTTTTCCCAGTGCAAAGAAAACCAAGCGATCTCCTGATCAAACTTGCCTGTAGAATAGCCAAGCACTCACCTGGGAAGGTGGGCAAAGGGCTTTCATCTCAATAAAGCAGGAAAGATACAGTCAGGCTCGGTTTGTGACAAAGCAGCTTGCCAGACCTCTCCTATCCCCCTTCCTCCCCCAGTTACCCAAAGGATTAAATGACTCTGATCTTGGTGGGAGGGAGAAAGGGGCAGTCCATTCCAGGCTCCTGCCCAGCCACGTGCCAAAGCCCAGAGCTGGTTGCACAACCCAAGCCTAAAACTGTTCACATCCGTAAAAAGCTGAGAGGCTTCACCGACAGCACTCTCTGCTGGAGTCTGTTCATTATCTGGGGTCCTCTCAGGAGGAGGTCAGGGGCTTCTGAAGTGACTCAGAAGGAACACAGCTGCTCTTCTGTTCTGCAAAGTCCGTGAACATGCTTGCTCAAGCTTCTGACCTCTGTTTTTAGTCAATTTTTTTCTGGTTAAAAAAGAATATATGTTCATTCCAGCATTGCTAGTAATGGCCCAAACCTGGAAACAACCCACGTGTCCAAAAGCAGTAGAATGGATACATATATTAGCCACACAACAGAATACTATACAGTGATTCAAAATGAATGAATACAGTGATCAAAATGAATGAGCTTTGTGTGAGACTGTTGAGCAAAAAAACAGAAGACACAAAAGGAAGATAGAGTGTGAATTCCATTGATGTAAAGCTCAAGACAGGCAAACTATACCATTTTGTTTAGGGATGCATACATGAATGGTTTTGTAACAAGCAAGGAAGTGACTGAAGGGGAAGAAAGTTTTGGGGGAGGTTTCTGGTGTGCTGGAAATGTTCTATTTCTTGCTGTGGGTGGGTTTTTGTTGTATGATGTTAGATTGTACTTTGTATTTTAGGTAATTTTCAGTATGCATATTTCAGAATACAGTGTTGTTAAAAGTTAGATCCAAAAAGGTCTATGCCTATGATAATCTTTGCCTTTTATGAATCAAATGCAAAAGCAAATCTAATGTACACTGAAAACTACAAAACATCATTGAAGGAAATTAAGGACGACCTAAATGGAAAGACATCCCATGTACATGGATAAGAGGATTTAATATTATTATGATAGCATTATGCCCACAATTAATATACAGATTCAAAGAAATCCCTATCAAAATCCCAGTTGGCTTCTTATTTTTTCTTTTTAAAGAAATGGTTAACACTGACCCTCAAATTGATACAGCATTGCAAGGGGCCCCAAACAGCCAGAATAATATTGAAAACAAAAACAACACTGGAGGCCTCACACTTCCCCATTTCAAAACTTACTACAAAGCTACGGTAACCAAACACTGTTGTACTGGGAAGGAAGGAAATACAGGTGTAAATCTTCATGAGCTGGGACTAGGCAGTGGGTACTTGGATAGGACACCAAAAGCACAGCAACCAAAGGGGGAAAAATAGGTCCACTGGACATGAGCAAAATAAAAACTTTTGTACTTCAAAGGAAATAAAAAATCATATCTGATTTTTTGATATAAATATTGATATTGATATATATCAATATATGTGTATATTATATATGTAAATTAAAATATTGATTTTTTTTATGATATAAAAATGATCAAGAAAGTGAAAAGACAACACAGAGAAGGGGAGAACATTTTTGTAAGTCATATATCTGATGAAAGTCTGGTATCCAGAAATCTAAAGAACTCCTACCCCTCAAAACCAAAAACAAACAAACAAGAGGCAAGGGAATGGAATAGGCAGACACTTCTCCAGCAAGGATATGCAAAGGATCAACCAACACATGGAAAGATGTTCCACATCATGATGAACTAGAGAAATGCAAATCAAAGCCACAATGAGACACCACTTCACACCACTAGGATGCCTAGAATCAAAAAGATCAGAAAAAGTGTTAGGAAAATGGAGAGACATTGGAACTCTCCTGCATTGCTGTAGGAATATAAAAAGTTGCAGCCAGTTTGAGAAACAGTCTGGCAGTTCCTCAAAAAGTTAAACACAGAGTTACCATATGACCAGCAATTCTATTCCTAGGTACACCCGAAAGAATTGAAAACATGTGTCCACACGAAAACTTGTACACAGATGTTTATAACAGCATTATTCATAATAGCCAGAAAGTGGGCTATCAACATAAAAAAATAACAAATGTGGTGTATCCATACAATGGAATCTTGCTCAGCCATAACAAATAAATGAAGTATTGATACAAGCCACAATGTGGATGAACCGTGAAAACATGCCAAGTGAAAGAAATCAGTCACAAATGAGGACTTACTATCTGATTCCATTTATGCGAATGCCCGGAATGGGCAAATCCATAGACACAGAAGGAGGGCGAGGGATCGCCTGGGGGCTGAGGGGAGGGAGTAAACGGGGAGTGGTGACTACTAACAGTTCCTTTTCCAGGTGATGAAACCCTTGGGGATTTAGATAATGACGGTTGCACAGACTTGTAACGGTTGCACAGACTTGTGAATGTACTATAAACGATGATATTGTACACTGAAAGGGGCCAATTTTATGGGATGTGAACGGAATCTCAATTAAAAAAAAATACGAAATTTTCAAAAAAGTAAAAACCAGTAAATCGGGAATTAATATTTCATTAAAAAAAAAAAAACCTAGTAAGCTTGACTTTACAAAATAGCGTGCTCATTGTAAGAAAACATGAAAACACTCCCTTCCCAAAGTAACCATCACTACCCTGTGAATAGTCCGGGTACCGCTGGATAAGGAAGGATGATCACACTCCACGGTTGTTTTGTTACTAGTGGAAAGAATGCCTCCGTCCCTCACCCAACACACACACCGCACACCCGCTGGCTGAATGGAAGGTAACACTAGCCCTAAAAATGCCAATCCTTCCCTCTCCAGGACGGGACGTCCTAGCCATCTGGCTAGAGCAGGCGTGGCCCTGGTGCGGCAGGCGGGGAGGAAGGTGCCCGGGTAGGGCGCCGGGACGCGGCAGGGGACGTGGGAGCCACAGGGTGGAGCCTAGAGGGCGGGGGGGCGTGGCCCAGGGTGGAGGCTCGGGTCCGGGCACCCGGGGGCGGACCGCGGCGAGAGCCACGGGGTGTGCCCTGGAGGGCGTGGGGGCGGGGCCGGGGCCGGGGCGGAGCGCGGGGCGGAGTGCGGGGGGCGCCGGGGGGAGGGGGTTGGGGGCGCGCGGAGGGCCCCTGGGTCGGGGGCGGAGCGCGGGGCGGAGCGCACAGGGCGGAGGACCCCGGGGCCGGGGTTGGGCCGGGCGCTGGAGGCGGGGGCGGAGCGCGGAGGGCGCGGGGGCCGCGGCCGCGGCCGGGGGCGGGGCGCGGGGCGGGGCGCGGAGGGGGCGGGCTGCGGGCCCGGAGGGAGCGGGAGGGGCCGGGACGCGCGCCGTGGGCGCGTCGGTGACCAGACGGCAGCGGCGGCGGCAGCCGCACGCGCGTCCCGGCCTCCGTCCCCGCGGCGCCGCGGCCCCGGCCCCTTGCCCGCCCGGCCATGCCGCCGCCCGTGCCGCCCACCGAGCTGGTGCCGTCGGAGCGCGCCGTGGTGCTGCTGTCGTGCGCGCTCTCCGCGCTCGGCTCCGGCCTGCTGGTGGCCACGCACGCCCTGTGGCCCGACCTGCGCAGCCCGGCACGGCGCCTCCTGCTCTTCCTGTCGCTGGCCGACCTGCTCTCGGCTGCCTCCTACTTCTACGGGGTGCTGCAGGACTTCGCGGGCCCCTCGTGGGACTGCGTGCTGCAAGGCGCGCTCTCCACCTTCGCCAACACCAGCTCCTTCTTCTGGACCGTGGCCATCGCCCTCTACCTGTACCTCAGCATCGTCCGCGCGGCGCGCCAGCCTCGGACCGGCCGCCTGCTCTGGGCCTTCCACGTCGTCAGGTGCGTGGCGGCGGCGCCGCTTCCCCTCGAGTCCCCGACCCCCACCTGGGCCCTGCTTGCCGCCTCTGTGGCCCTCGCGCCCTCCTGGCGCCCGCGTCTTGGTCGGACCCCTGGCCGGGGCCCCACAGGGTCGTGTCTGCTCATGTTCCGAGGCAGTCGGGGGGCCGGCGGGACGATGCGGACGGAGAGGTGCACCTGCCCGGAGCATCGGTGCAGAGGGCGCCCCTTTGTGGCTGCCCTAGCCCGAACCTCCCGGAGAGGTGGGGGGCCAGAGCTCGGCCCCCATAACTTGGAAGCACCTGGAGAGATGGCGAGGACACCTTATGCCTTTTGCCTCCTGCTTCCCTGCGTTCTGGCCGTTTCTACTGCCCATGGGGAGAAGCTCCTCGTTCCCAGGCTGCGAGATGAGTTAGGGGCTGCTCCAGCCTGGAGAGGGGGGCCGCTCCCAGTCGCGCCGTGTGTCACAGTAGGTGTGATGCATTCAGCCACTCCCGGGCTAGCTGCCCGCGGCCAGATGCATTGTCGCAGCTGTATTACAGAGTATCGTCTTCATGATTTTGTCTTTGTGCATCTCTAGACCCAGACGATCTTGACTTTCTAGGGTTTGGTATCTCTGAGGGTGAGGTCAGTGGCAGGGTCTGGTCTGGAAGAGGGCCCCCAGCTGCCTGGAGTCTATGAGAGTAGAGTCAACTGAGGGCTTTGCCCAGCCCTGGCATTAAAGCACCTCATCAGGTAACCCTCACCCATGAAGGTTGACTCCTTCCGGGTGCAATTCCAAGATTTGAACGTCCATGGTGTCCTGCACTTCACTCAAGGCAGGAATCTTATAGGGCCTGTTTCCCCTTGTCCGTCTCCCAGATAAGAACACCAAATACTGCCCTAATTATAGGACCTCTCTGTTAAATAAGCTTGAGTGCTTTCCATGGGACTGAGGACAGTCAGCACTTTGGTAGAGACAGGTCACCTGGGTGTCACAACGGTGAGATCACAAGCCTGCAAGAGTCACTTGACCTCTGGGTCTCAGAACTGCTGGAGGAAGGCCAGCTGGTCCCTGGGAAACTAAGTGGCCTCCTTCTCAGCTGTTCATGTCAAAGTTTTTCAAGGAGCCAGACAGTACCTCAGATGCTGCAGAGATCCACAGGGGCTGCCTTTCCTCCCCTTGCAGCATCCCCCCGGCCCCGGCCTCTGTGTATTTCAGAGACCCAGTCCTTGGCAGTCTGGTTACGTGTGGGCAGCATGTACACCGGAGTTCACATGTACTTGAGAAGGAGCCTAAGATAGGACCTTTCTTTGCCAAAAATCTCTTCTCTTCCCCCCCACTTAAAAAAAGAATACTGAAAACAATATATATATATATATATATATATAAAAGATTTTATTTATTTGATACACAGAGAGATAGAGAACACCAGCAGGGAGAGCAGCAGGCAGAGGGAGAGGGAGAAGCAGGCTCCCTGCTCAGCAGGGAGCCCGATACGGGACTCGATCCCACGACCCTGGAATCATGGCTGACGCTTAACCGACTGAGCCACCCAGGCGTCCCGAAAACAATATATTTTTTAAGTGATGAAGAGAACCTGGTACAGCTCCTATAGAAAAGATGCATTTGCTAATGAACCTGAGTGGGAGTTCCTTCCATTCAGTCCTAGGGGTGTTTTTTGTGATGCTGAGGAGAGGCCTCCTAAGAAAGCCCATGGGTCCTCCATGCTCTCCACGAAAAAGAAGGGAGTTGTTCATCTTGCCCGTTGAATGTGATCCATCGGCTTCTCAAAAGAAAATTACCAGGGTGCCTGGGTGACTCGGTTAAGCCTCTGACTCTGATCTCAGCTCAGATCTTGATCTCAGGGTTGTGCGTTCAAGCCCCGCGTTGGGATCCACACTGGATATGGAGCCTACTTTAAAAAAAAAAAAAATTATCTATATCCAAGCTACAAAGGGAGTTTGACAGTTTGTTCTCTGGAGTTCCCTTTCAGAAGTTCGCTCTCAGCATCTTGCTGGTCTAAGAGAATTGGTAGAAAACCTGACAGGTTCATTTATTGACCTAGATCCTCCCAGGCTGTATTGCTCATGACCTTGCTAAGGGCTCTCCAGTGGCTTTCTTTGGAGTATGAGTTTATAATTGTTAAAGACCTGTTGGCATGATAAATTTCATATTCAGACAGAGGCTGCACAGTCATCCACTTTTTTAACCAGTTCAGACTACTGAAGATCAGTCCTCGTCAGACCTTCAGTTTGGGAAAGTATTTTAAAACGTGACAATGTAGAGGTTGGGAATGTCTATTAGTTTTTATGAAATGATTTTTTTTTTAAAGATTTTATTTATTCATTTGACAGAGAGAGACACAGAGAGAGAGGGAACACAAACAGAGGGAGAGGGATAGGGAGAAGCAGGCTTCCCGCCGAGCAGGGAGCCCGATGCGGGGCTTGATCCCAGGATCCTGGGATCATGACCTGAGCTGAAGGCAGACGCTTTTTTTTTTTTTTTAATTTTTTATTATGGAGAACTGCCAAACATTTATAAAAGTATACAGAGCAATCTAGTGAACTTCAACATGTCCATTAAGCAGTTTGATACTATGCCAGCAAAATTTTCTCTATTTCTTTTTTTATGTTATGTTAATCACCATACATTACATTATTAGTTTTTGATGTAGTGTTCCATGATTCATTGTTTGCATATAACACCCAGTACTCCATTCAGTAAGTGCCCTTTTTAATACCCATCACCAGGCTAACCCATCCCCCCACCCCCTCCCCTCTAGAACCCTCAGTTTGTTTCTCAGAGTCCATTGTCTCTCATGGTTCGTCTCCCCCTCTTATTTCCCCCCCTTCATTTTTCCCTTCCTACTATCTTCTTCTTCTTTTTTTAATTTTTTTTAATTTTTAATTTTTTATTTTTTTAAAAGATTTTATTTATTTATTTGACAGAGAGACACAGCGAGAGAGGGAACACAAGCAGGGGGAGCGGGAGAGGGAGAAGCAGGCTCCCCGCAGAGCAGGGAGCCCGATGCGGGACTCGATCCCAGGACCCTGGGATCATGACCTGAGCTGAAGGCAGTCGCTTAACCAACTGAGCCACCCAGGCGCCCCCTTCTTCTTTTTTTTAAACATATAATGTATTATTTGTTTCAGAGGTACAGGTGACTTCTATCCTCTTCATTTTTCTTCCTTTTCCTTTTTTTTTAAAAATTTTTTTATTCTTATGTTAATCCCCATATATTACATCATTAGTTTTAGATGAAGTGTTCCATGATTCATTGTTTGTGCATAACACCCAGGGCTCCATGCAGAATGTGCCCTCCTCAATACCCATCACCAGGCTAACCCATCCTCCCACCCCACTCCCCTCTAGAACCCTCCCACCCCACTCCCCTCTAGAACCCCTCTAAAACCCTTGTTTTTCAGAGTCCATCGTCTCTCATGGTTCGTCTACCCCTCCGATTTCCCCACCTTCATTCTTCCCCTGCCCATGGGGAGAAGCTCCTCGTTCCCAGGCTGCGAGATGCAGACGCTTAACGACTGAAGGCAGACGCTTAACGACTGAGCCACCCAGACGCCCAGAAATGATTTTTTTTAAGATTTTATTTTTAAATAATCTCTACACCCAACATGGGGCTCAAACCCAAAACCCTGAGATCAAGAGTTGCATGTTCTACTGACTGAGCCAGCCAGGCACCCCTGAAATGATTTTTAAAAAAACAAAAAATACCCTGATAAATGGCCAAAGGAGACATTGAGACAAGAATCAAAATGGTTCATAAATATATTATGGGGAAAAGTTTCTCCTGTTAATAGTCAAAGCAATACAAATTATAACAGTGAGGTACCATTTTCTCATTAAATTAGAAAAAAGTAGTGAAGCAGAATACTAATGTGATAAATGCCGGTAAAACTGGTATTTTATTTTCCTACATTATTATTGGCAATGGAAACTGGAATAATCCACATAGAAAGTATTTGGTTCGTACCCCTTGATCCACTCACTAATCCTATTTATAGGGACCTAGTCTAAGGAGATAATCCAAAATACATTCAAAGCTGTAGGTACAAAGGAGTTTGTGTGGGAATTTGGAAGCAACCTGAATGTCCAAAATATAGGGGAGCAGAAGATTATAAACTACACCCCACCGGAAACATTACACAGCCATCAAATACTGGCTGTGAACTCTATAAGCCATGTTTTTAAAATAGTATTATACAATGTTAAATGAAAAAAAAAAAGCCATCTCTAAAACGGAACCACATAAAGCAGGAGGCCAGATAGAATCCTACACGCACACCACTTCCCAGAAAGCACCTGCACAACCCCCTAGGGCCCCATCATAATAGCTGAGCAGGCTCCCTGTACAGAAAGACTTTTTTCTTTGCCCACTGGGGAAGGAGGGCAGCTTAGACTTTATCCTCAAGGAAATGGTATTTTATCACAAGTTGCGTCTGGCTCCTGAGGTCTTGCAAAGTGCGTGTCTGTTCCTTAGCTCATTGGCCACCAGTAGCCCCGGGGCTGGGCAGGACCATCACCTTCCAGTCACAGCTCATGCGACTTGCCCGAGCTCACGCAGCCATAATTGGGAGGCTAAGGGTTAGAACTCCAAGGGTCGGTCCTCCATTTATGATCTCATCTTGTCTCTTGGCCTGAGGATAATTCTTAAGATTGAGATATCATTACTCAATTTATTTTTAACTTTCCAGATTTCTGCCATTATGTATCATGTTGGCTTTTGTCTTCTGCATTTATTTTTCTGGAGCCATTTAAGAGTATAGACTGATGACCCCAGAGCCCCTAAATCCTTCAGTGTGTATTTCCGAAAGAAAGGGACCGTCTCTTAGGTAACCACCTATACCTTCCAGAAGCAGGGCAGTGGTGTCGCCTGGAACGATGCTGTTACCTGAGGGTGGACTTTACAGGGATGTTGTCGGTCTCTTGCCAATGTCCCCGATAGCAAAGGGACACCCTCAGGTTGTGTTTGACTTAGTTGTCAGGTCTCTCTGTTGTCCGGCGA